TGAAGTCTCTTGATCCTTTATGCTTTTTTCCAGAGCTACCAGTAGTTTTATAATTGTGCTTCTGAGTTGGCTTTCTGACATCAAATTGTAATGCAAATTCTGTAATTCTGTGGCAGAGAGAACTGTTTCTGATTCTTTCTTTTGTGGTCAGTTCTTTCTAGTCATTTTGCTCAGTGCAGAGTGGCTAAAAACGACTTGTACTGGAAAAAGGAAGAAAAGAAAAGAGAGAAAAAAAGAAAAAAAACAAAAACACCCTAAAACAAACAAACAAAAAAAAAACCAAGGAGTGGTATCCTCTGTTTCTATATGCTGTAAATCCCTCGACTTCCCCTGGAGCTTTCCATCACAGCTCGGCCAAGAACTTGCTCTTTCCATGTCCTTCCAGCTGGTCTTCTGGAGGAGGGGCCTGCATTGCTGATTCTCACGTGTGTGCATCTGGGGGAGCTGCTCCGCCCCTTGCCAGATGTGCAGCTCAGTGGGAGCTGTTTATCTTGTGAAGCCTCAGCTCCCTGGTAGCCCTGCTTTGTCCCAGGTACAAGGTGACACACGGAGGAACAACAACAGTGGCAGTGGCCAGCTCTCCAGCCCTGGAGTCAGCTCCTACAGTAACTACCGCAGTTTCCCAGTCCACGCTTGCCGGGATGCTCCAGGGGCGGGGGGCGCCAATCTGCACAGCTCGGGGGCCTTGGTGGCAGGAGCGTCCTCACTGTTCTGTGCCCTCCCTGCCTCCACCTGTCCTGGAGGGAGCACCGAATCCTGGGCTGTGTCTCTGGGCACCTTGGGATCCCGGGCCTGTGCCACTGGAATCTCGATCCTGGGGGAATGCAGCCCCCTCCCCGCAGAGCCCCCACCTGCGCTGCTGCCTGAGCTGCTCCTGGGGCCCTGCTGGGTGGCACTCCAGCCCTTTAGGGAGCTCGGCCCGTGGTGTGTGCTCACTCTCCCCCGGGGTGCACTTCCTCTGGTAGGGCCTCGGGGAACCTGGAGGCCCCACTGCTCCTCCTGGGGTCCTACCCGAGTTCCCTGCTCAGCGCCTTTCCGTCCGTGAAGAATCCAGTGCAGATTTTTAAAGTTCCTGCTTCTCCGGGACTGGGCTTTCCTGTACTGGAGGCTCTTGCTGCCCGGCTGTAGTCCGGCTCCTCCAGGGGGCCCCCTCCCCAACTTGATTTTTTTTAATTAATTAATTAATTAATTTATTTATTTATTTATTTTTTTTTTTCTGTCTTTCTACCTTGTTAGAAGTGCAAACTCCTCTCTGTAGCGTCCCAGCTGTTCCTTTTAAATCTCAGGCTGAATTCATAGGTTTTCAGGATGATTTGAAAGTTATCTAGGTAAGTTGGTGGGGACAGGTGACTTGAGGACCCTACTCTTCTGCCATCTTGCCCCCCCCCAGTCTTCTTAAATTGTCTCTCCATCATGGATTTTCCATCCTACAAGTGAGCTGGGGCAAAGGTGATTAGGATCCCAGTATTCTAGGCCCCTTGTTCCCAAGGTAGAATCTTTGCCTGCCTTTCCAGTGGGAGCTGGGTGGAAGAAGGGAGCTTCCATGTCTTGGCCTAATTGTCTTAGGGTATAGCCTCTGCAGTGTAGAGCTGGAGATGTAAAGCAAAATGTTGGCTTTACTGAGACTTAGTAGATTTCCTTGAATAAAAAATTCTTCATTTGTGGGGCACCTGGGTGGCTCAGTCGGTTAAATGTTCGACTCTTGATTTCAGCTCAGGTCATGTCAGGATTGTGAGATCAAGCCCTGCAAGGGACTATGTTCTGAGCATGGAGTCTGCTTGGGATTCTCTCTCTAACTCTCCTCTGCCCCTCCCTCTGCTTGTGCACTTGCTCTCTCTCTCTCTCTCTCTCTCAAAAAAAAAGTTTCTTTATTTGCTAGATGTATGTGCTTAGGATAATTTATAGGGACTATAAATGTTTTTCTTTTCAAATAATTGTCAACAGTTATGGTTGTTTTGTTGAGGAGAGTGTCTAAGTAGCTCTTCATATTGTCATTCTGTAAGTCATCTTATAATGTCTTTGGTTCAGTTTGGTTTAGATTTTCTTTGAGACTTAAAGATTCTTCATCCCCAAATCTCATACATCTTAAATTAATTGACTCAGGATACAACATATGGAAAGCATTCTGTAAATTGTTTTTGTAAATATTGGTGACAGGGATTTTTGAATACCTAATAACTGATATGTGTAATGAACTACTGCACACACTGAAAAAGGATAGGACACATATGAGACATCTCCTCATGCTTGAAATGTTTATAATCTCACTTTAAAATGTGCACAATAATAAATTGCATGTAAGACAAGCAGTAAAACCTCCAAAAGATTTTCTTGTTCAGGCATTGTCAGGGAACCCATTACAGAGGACATAGATAGGATTTAGATTGGTCCTTGGAAGATTTTTCAAAGGCAAAGAGAAGAGGGGAAGGATGTTATCAAAAGAAAAACCAGCACAAAGAAAGAAAAAGATAGACATCCAGAAACAAAAAAAGAATGGAGGGAAGGAAGGAAGGAAGGTAGGAAGGAAGGAAGGAAGACATCTGTTGCTCAGAGAAACAGTCACATGTTAGGACTAGGAATGAGAAGGGGCGGATAATTCTCAGGAATGGACTCCGGTCCCCAGACTAGGATGAGATGCTAATAATAGCAAGAGCAACAGCATTCAAAATATTATCACTCTGATTTGGTACATTTAACCTGGCTAGTTCCATTTTCAACCCACAACCAGAATTTACCTGCCTCTGTTTGCTTATCTTTCACTTACTGTCTTGTGTTATCTATTAATGTATAATGTGTCTGCATTATCTCTAGAGTGAAAGCTCTAAAGAATGAGGTGGGGCTCTTACTGTACCCAGGACACAGTAAGTGTCCAATTATAGAATCATGCCCGTAGACACCTGAGCCAGAGAAAAATGGAGTGTCACTGTAGGGAGGCACATGTCTGGGGTCCTGAACTGAAACTCACTGAACTTGGAGGTCTAGCAAGAGGGTGGACCACTCAGGGTCCTCAAGTAGGCCCACTTCAGGGAATGGGCAATGCTAAATGCTGCTCTTCTCCACAGAAAGTGTTAATTCCGGTCAGTCAATGCCCAAAACCATGATGAACTTCATTATGCTGAAAATGACTGGGATCTGAAACTTTAGGGGGCAGGAAATATGAGGAGTGGTCTGGGGGAACTGGAGAGAAAGCAGGGATATTCACCCAGAGAAGACCCTTCAGGAAGAGCCCTTAGCTTGGGTAGTGAGCGTTAGGCAGTTGTTTGTTAGTTAACCTCAAGGAAATGCATTTGAGATGCATGAGGTATCAGAGCATGGGCTTATGTGGTATGAATCCAAGTGGGGAAAAGGAATCCCTGGTATAAGACCCTCTCGGGACTTAGTGTCTGTGACACCTTTCTGAAGAGCAGTTAGGGCTCCTTCTGATGCCTGACAAGGAGAAAAGGAGAGGAGGAGAAGGAGAGAGAAGTGGGAGAAGGAAGTAAGGGGAAAAGGGCTTGGATCTCTGAGGCTCCATAACTCAGGTGCTTTTTCCTGAGGATCCTGTTCTAACAGGCTGAGAAAGACTTCATACCATCTCCCACCTTCTATTTCACTTACATGGACTCCTCCCTTCAACCAAACTACATGTCAAAGCCTACTTCCCCCGGAGACCTTCCCAGATGAAGCAGGTAGGCCCTGAGAGTCTTGTCCTGCTGGGTTTGCTCCAGCAGCTGCTCCTCTGGCCTTGTCTCACCCTCTATCCTGATTAGTTCCTTATCTGTCCCCCCCACACCCCAACTTTGCCTACCTTTGTCCTATGTATGACTTCAAGTCTTTAAGGACAGCCCCTATAATCAGAATATCCCTGTAATTACTCATCTATTTAACTTACTCACCTGTTTCCTGAGTCCCTACTGTGTGTTAGGCACCAAGAACACAGAGGTAGGCAAGACATTGTCCCTACCATCAGGAGTTTAACAGACCTTTTCACTCTGCTGGCATGTAGGCTGTGGTTCTGAGACGGATGGCTCTAGAAGTGAGGGACTATATTCCAATGAGAGTTTTCCCACCCTAAGCACAGCCCACATGTGCTGATATCAATTTTCATAAAAGACATTTTTCACTCTGTGGAAAGCTTTTCCTTAGATTTTCTCAATAATTACATAAACAATTCCCCTTTACATTAACAGGTAGCAGGGTTTATGAATGTTTTATTCTCCACACTTCTTAGCCTGCTCTGTAAGGTGCAATCTGCCCACCAATTTCTCTGTACTATTTATGAAAGGGTGTTCCCAGAAGGCTTTAGGTGTGGATGGTAAATGCAAGAGGCTGGGATCTGAGCCACAAAACAAAAATGAGTCAGTTTTTTTTTCTTATTTTTTATTCTCACAAAATGAGAAATCTATTTTAATGGCACAAAGATTATTCCATTCTACAAATATTAATGAGTATCTTCTTTATGTTAGGGACAGTATCAGGTCCTAGGAATTTAGAAGTGATAAAGACAAGGTCCCATCATCAAGGAACTGTGTAATAAAGGTGATAAGACAAATATGTAGGTCACCTTGGTCACGAGCAGCTAGAAAGGCTGTGAGAGGTGCCTCTGACATTCGGAGGAGGGAGGACTTGGATGTGGCCTGGTGGACCAAGCAAATTACCACGGAGGTGGTGGCCTTAAGCTGAGTGATAGAAGGCATGGATGAAGGGTGGTAGTGTGCAAGAAGGGTCTTCATTAGAGTTGGGTAGCATTGAACTTGGTCTTTCCCTACCAAACCTAGAGAGACCTCCACAGTAATCATATCCCTCTCAGGTCCCCAGAGATATCATCTAGACTTCGCCAGTGCACACACCCCATTCAGGCCACTCTGAAGGCCACAGCCTCTGGTCACTCATTCACACAGGATTCCCTTTGGCTCACATCCTGTTGCATGACCATGAGGAATTCAGGCCTGGGGATTGTGAAACATCAGCATAAATAGTCCACTCACAGCTGCCCTCCAATAATATGTAGCTTGAAGGCTTCACTGGAGGATGTATAAAAGGCTTCCAGAGTCCTGGAATGATTTGTCCATACATCCTCCTCTAGGGTGAGGCTACCTCTGGGTAGGGAGACACTTGTATATCCCTCACTCTGATGCTGCCAAGACCAGCCTGATCTCTCCTCTTGCCTCTGTCCCAGGAGTAGACAAGCCAGGTAAGTGGCAGGGAGAAGGGAAGGGAGGTGGTCCCCACAAAAGATCTCAAATGATTTAAAATAGGAGAAAGCCATAGAAGCAGAGGGCTGAAGAAACAGAGAAGATACACCCAGGCTTAGGAATCTGGGGGCAAAGTAAGACTGAGTGAAGAAAGAGCAGAGATTTGTTTCTCCTTTACATTTGACCATGGTGGATCCTGGTCTGGGAAAGTAGGCAGCTGTATTTTGTTTAAGAAGAGGAGTAAGTTATTAGCTGGGTTGTTGGTGAGTGGGTCTCCTGTTACCTACTCAGGTCCATTTCTGTCCCTTCTAGGATGGATTTTGCAGATTGTAAATGCCAGCTTTATCTTGACAGCTCTAGCCCAGAGAGAAAAGAAACATATCGAAGGCCCTGACTTAATTGCTCTTTTTCCTTCCAGCTTCCCACTGATGTCACAGCAGAAGCAGCAATCCTGGGAGCCCCCTAGTGCTCCCAAATACTCACCTTCCCAGTGCCCAAACATCTCCCTGGCTGCCTGTGACCTCTGTTCAGGAGGGCGTGATTCTGGTTCCCTAAAACCCTGGGGTCAGAGCCCTGGCCACTCTCAGAGGGCTCACTGCAAGAAGCCCCGCTGCCTCGGTGGTGGCACAGTCTACCACATCAAGGAGAAGGAGTGCTGAGGGGACCAGGTACAGCTGCTCTCTCCCGTCCAGGTTTCTGCACTCAGGTGGCTGGGAAGCTCAGGCTCTCCCCCTCTAGCTTGGGCTGGGAAATACTTCCTGGCCCCCATAAGCTGCACCCCTCCTTCTGTCTTGCACCCCTTCAGCTCAACAACACTGTGCAGCCAGAGCTGTGGCTGCTACAAACCCTGAGGTCCCCGGAGAGACTGAAGTCTCCACATGCTGCCCCTCTTTCCTCCCAAGATGCTGACAGGTGGTGTTTCAGAGACACACAGTTTGAGATTTCTGTCTCAGCATCCTCATAGCCATCAACCTATGTCATGGTGTAATCTTCACACTGAAAGATTTTGTGTGACAAACATGTTGAGTACCCACTGTGTACTGTGCTCTGTGTTCCCAGATGTAATAGGAGGTTTATCTCTGTTCTAGAAAAGCTTACAGTCTAGTGGGAGAATCAATGTACATTGTAGATTGAAATATGCAGACTAATAAATGTAATTCTAAGGTGACTGACATACTTTTTTCCTTCACTTTATGTGAACTCAAAGGGGGAAAGAGTACAAAAGTTAGGACACTATCCTGATGGTTTAGATCAAAAGTGGTTTCATTAGAAGGAGATGGTTTAGATCAAAAGTGGTTTCATTAGAAGGAGAGATCTGAGAGAGCAGGCCTCCAAGGTAGGTATCATTTCAACAAGGCTTTTAAAGACAAGCTGACTCTGGTGTTGGGGATGGAACAAAGATGAGCAACTTTCCAGGTAGAAATGATACTTTTCGTGTACAACTGGGATACTTGCCAATGATGTGGATTTCGACTTAGCTAGACTGCCAGGAGTAAGATGATTATATGAAATAGCTCTTAAGCCAGGTATGAAATCTCAGCTCCCAAAGAACTGTCCCTCTGGGGACAGTCTGGGCCCATGTTTAGGGTCTGTTGTCCTGGGGTGGGGAGGACCTGAGGTAAAGTAGAGGGGCCTGGTGGGCTTGAGGCTCAACACAGTTGTATATCAATTTAAGTTCCAGGTAATAATATTTAGTTGATTCTCATTTTCAGGTGGAAACTGAAAATATGTTATTAACTAAGTACCCAGTCCAATGGATTCTATTGCCCCAGAAGATGCCCATTTCCAGAGCTTAGCAATCCTCCTGACTGCTGGAACCTGGTTGTGCCTTTATTATGATATATCTCTCTATATAGACATATAGATAAAGCATAATTTTATATAATTATAATTTTGAATGTGTAATTTTTCTCATTAAACAAATGATGAATGCCATGTATAAAACATCTTTATAGATATTTTAATGCATTAGGAAGATGATGAAGACCAACCAAAAATCTTATCACCTAAAAATAACCACGGCTAATAACTTCAGGATTTGGTTCCAAACTTTATTTAAAAATCACAAAATGGGATCAGTTCAGAATACTTTGCAATCTGATTTTTTACTTGACAGTACAGTTGTCAATTCTCTTCCATAATTAATATTGATCAACACTATTATAGTCCATTGTGTGAACATACCATGAGTTGTATAAGTAGTTCCTTGATTTGGGGTACCTATATTGCTTCCACTTTTTTACTGTCTAAACAACAGTAAAAGAAATGTTCTCATTGGTGATTATTCTTAGTAATTTTCCTAAGATAAATTTTTAGATTTGGAATTCTAGAATTGCCAAAGACTATGAAGATTTTTTTCACCCTCTCCAGGAAGATTGCATCTTAGAGGCAATGAAAATGCCTCCATTTAAGAAAATCATTTTTGGGAAAAGGGTTTCTTGCTCAAGAACAAGAGTGAGTACTGTATTTTTAAAAAATTATTCTAGTTAGGGGCAGCTGGGTGACTCAGTTAGTTAAGCATCTGACTCTTGATCTCAGCTCAGGTCATGATCTCGGGGTCCTGGGATAGAGTCCTGCATGGGTTTCTGGGCTCAGCAGAAAGTCTGCTTGAGATTCTCGCTCCCCCTCCCCCCCAACACCACCACAGGTTCACTCTCTCTCAAACAAACAAACAAATAAATAAATAATTCTTAAAAAATTATAGGAAAAATCCTATAGCTATAGGAAAAATCTACCTTGTTGGGGGGGGTACGCTTTTTGAGAAACTTGCCAGGTATCAATCTATTTTGCTGTCATGAAATCTATACTTTAAAAAAAAATTAAATGCCTTCTCCTTTTGAGGGAAAAAGGATGTTATTTATTGTATAAAGCACTGCCTTATGAATTTTGATATACCATTGATTGAAATTCTATATTTAGCTAATAAGTTTTAAATATTCTTGATTTTAGGTGTTCAGTTATATTTGTGTGAGAGAATTCTGGGATAAAATCTCATTTCCCTAAGAAAAAAACTAAATATCAATATTTGTTTGATTGTGCAAAGCTTAATATATGAGTCTCTTTTGTCTATTTTTTAACTTCTGTTCTTTATTGAAAATGGACATTCACCAAACAACAATTAAAAGAAAAAAGTTTTGACAGAAAAAATTTTCTTTAACAAGAGTACTACTGAATAATTGACCTATTCAGATTCCCTAATCAGTGCTTAGATTCCCTTTGCTAATTATTCACCTTATGTATTATTGCATACTACACTATTTAGTCTATATCAAATTGATTTTGAATTTTCTACTGAAAAAACAAAAAACAAAAAACAAAAAAAACATGGGATGCCTGGGTGGCTCAGCAGTTGATCATCTGCATTCAGCTCAGGATGTGATCCCAGAGTTCCAGGATTGAGTCCTGCATCGGGCTCCTGTATGGAGCCTACTTCTCCTCCCTCTGCCTGTGTCTCTGCCTCTCTCTGTGTGTCTCTCATGAATAAATAAATAAAATCTAAAAAAGAAAAGAAAAGAAAAACCCCAGTGATTCATTCTATCATTATTTTTCTTCACAGAGGTCTGCATTTGACATCTTCACATTTTCTAAAAATGTCTGTGCATCAGAAATGTCAATATTATGCATGTCTTTTTGGTGTGGCTTCAGTATGGTTTCATTTTAATATTGCACATTTACCTTTGTTTTCTAAGAAATAATTAAAAATGCAAACTTCATATTTTGTGCAAAATGTCCTATATCCAACATCTTAAATTTATACGGACAGCCAAAATAGGTTTGTGGCACTGCCAGGACTGATTTGTTTTGTTTTGTTTTTTACTATATATAACTTCACACTTTTAATAAATGTTAAGTAGTTACACATTTTTAACATTTTATAATTAGAAAATTTCATTTTGATGGAGCATTTGATATTTAATATGCTTTTGTCCAATTTTTAAAAAATGTTACTGCAATGTTGTATGGATTAAATGAAGAACATGTGCATTTTTTTAGAAAGCAAGTTGTGACATGTTTTAAAAAGCTCTCTGAGGTACTTTGAAAGAGCCCTGTTGAATCCACTTGGGGGAATCTTAGGTGAATGATTCAAAGGGCTTAGTCCTCACCATTCTCCACTGCAGCTTTCCAGAAGGGATTTTTTTCACCTGGGAACTGAACTGAGCTCAGTGACCTCACACCAGGTCAGCCCTTCCTCAGAATGCCCCATTCTTCCTAGGTCTCCAGTTGGGACAAACATGCCCTTGCCAGCCTGGCCAACAGTTACTACTCAGCCCACACCCTGGGCCGAGTGTATTTTCATCAGCTTCCTTTACAATGTCTGACAGATCCTACTTTACTATATATTATATCCTCCATGATATAGTATGGATAGTAATAAAAGTTGTTGCTTTCACCCAGTAACCCCAACCCCCCACCCACCTCCCATTCCACTACCCCTTGTTAATTTCCCAGAGTTAGGTGTATCTCATGTTTTGTCACCCTCACTGATATTTTCACTCATTTTCTCTCCTTTCCCTTTATTCCCTTTCACTAATTTTTATATTCCCCAAATGAATGAGACCATATAATGTTTGTCCTTTTCTGATTGACTTATTTCACTCAGCTTAATACCCTCCGGGTCCATTCACGTCAAAGCAAATGGTGGGTATTTGTCATTTCTAATGATTTTTCCCACTCATTTTCTCTCCTTTCTCCTATAAACCCTTTCACTATTTTTTATATTCCCCGTCTGAGTGAAACCATATCATGACTGTCCTTCTCAGATTAATTTACTTCACTCAGCATAATACCCTCCAGCTCCATCCACATCAAAGCAAATGGTAAGTATTCATCCTTTCTGATGGCCGAGTAATATTCCATTGTATACATAGACCACATCTTCTTTATCCATTCAACTTTCGATGGACATTGAGGCTCCTTCCACGGTATGGCTATTGTGGACATTGCTGCTATAAACATTAGGACTCAGGTGTCCTACCATTTCATTACATCAGTATCTTTGAGGTAAATCCCCAGCAGTGCAATTGCTGGGTCATAGGATAGCTCTATTTTTAACTCTTTGAGGAAGCTCCACACAGTTTTCAAGAGTGGCTGTATCAGTTCACAATCCCACCAACAGAGCAAGAGGACTCCCCTTTCTCCACATCCTCTCCAGATTTTGTTGTTTCCATTATATGGTCTCATTCATTTGGGGAATATAAAAATTAGTGAAAGGGAATGAAGGGATAGAAGAGAAAATGAGTGAAAATATCAGTGAGGGTGACAAAAGCTGAGAGACACCGAACTCTGGGCAATGAACAAGAGGTAGTGGAAGGGGAGGTGGTCGGTGGGTTGGGGTGACTGGGTGATGGGCACTGAGGGGGGCATTTAGCAGGATGAGCACTGGGTGTTATGTTATATGTTGGCAAATTGAACTCCAATAAAAAATTATTTTAAATTGTTGTTTCCTGTCTTGTTAATTTTCCCCATTCTCACTGGTGTGAGGTGGTATCTCATTGTGATTTTGATTTGTATTTCCCTGAAGCAAGTGATGCAGAGCATTTTCTTATGTGCTTGTTGGCCATGTCTATGTCTTCCTCTATGAAATTTCTGTTCATGTCTTTTGCCCATTTCATGATTGGGTTGTTTTTTTCTTTGCTGTTGAGTTTAATAAATTCTTTATAAATATTGGATACTATCCTTTTACCTGATATGTCATTTGCAAATATCTTCTCCCATTTTGTAGGTTGTCTTCTAGTTTTTGTTGACTGTTTCTTTTGTTGTGCAGAAGCTTCTTATCTTGATCAAGTCCCAATAATTCATTTTTGGTTTTGTTTCCCTTGACTTCATAGATGTATCTTGCAAGAAGTTGCTGTGGCCAAGTTCAAAAAGGATGTTGCCCGTGTTCTCTAGGATTTTGATTAATTCTTGTCTCACATTTAGATCTTTCTTCCATTTTGAGTTTATCTTTGTGTCTGGTGTAAGAGA